ACTTGTAAATGTTATTTAATTTCAATGAATTAGTTTTTGCGAATATGTGGAGGTACGGTAGGGATAGAACTGCGCCCGCACCAGTTTTGATTTTACGAGAAAGATGGGGCACACTAACCTTAACTTCTCTTAAGCCTTCATTGATCCCAAAAATCTCGTTAATATACCTGACGAATTGATGCCATCAAATTTTTTTTAACACGATCGTCTATTTTTCTCTGATTTCCAACTTTGCATTATTCTCACACTTAGGTCTGTTTTACGCAATATTTTTCAGCAAGATTCAATAAAAACATGCTGTTTGACAATCGCTGAAACCATTTCAGAACAAGAAGATCTCCAAAATAGACCATCATATGATAGATTGTAGTCCATGTAAAGATTCTACCAACTGACATTTGCGTCCGATGGTTTGCGCCCGAGTAATGAGCCAAAGTTGTTTTTTTTATAATTTACTTTGATGAAATTGTGTCTTTTGTTACGTCATTTTGATGGCCAGTATATAGCATGCGGAAGTATGACGTCATTTTTCGGGGTTATTAAGTCATAAAAATTATAAAATGACGTCAATATGTGTATATTTTTCTGATCTTTTCAATGATATCAAACTCAATAATTTCCGTAAAACGGTTATTATTTTTTTTTTATTAAGGATGACGTTTACTCAGGTTTCAGAAATCAGAGAGGAAATTTTATAAAGCATAATATATTGAATCAAAAATTATTCTAAATGGATGAAATAACTAAGTTTTATCTCAATATCAATTAAAAAATTTAATATATAAGTCCTTGAAGAAAATATACGGGAACAAAACTCAATGTATTGCTATGCAGAGGAAATTCGGTCTAAATTTGTAATTTTTCATTTTTTTTTCAAAATTTTTATTCCTTGCAATAATAATCACAAAGAAAAGGTTACTTGTATTTAAAGACACCGTTTTTCAAATTTAGTTTGTGTTTAAGCTCATTAATTATTTGAAATAAAAGAATGCTATGAAATAAAGAAATTAAAAAAACATGTACAAAAACCACTGTAGTCAACATATCTCAATAATTTGATCATTGACCCAATATAATATTAATACCAAGAGAATGAGGGTAACAAAAGTAGCCAGAGACTACAAATAATTAAGACTTCTTATCAGTCAGATTTTTGTAATGTTCGATTAAAAATGGGGGAAATATAAATATGACAGAGGAAATTCGGACTGTAATAATTATCACATTTATGGCCGAAACTTCACTCATTTCTTTAAATAGAGCAACTTTGTTCCATTGCTATAATATTTCATTATTTAAAGAGTTTTGTTGCATGTAATATTTTGTTAGTGAAGAAATAAATGGTCATAGTGTGAACAATTGAGGTATTTCCCGAGAAATGTTCTGGGGCCCCTAGCATTAAAACGAGGTCATTGACCTAGTTATTTGAAATTAAAATTTAAAACAAGAATCATAGGTGTACAATGTGCAATAGGTAGTTTTTCGTTCTTATCAGTGGAATTTTTAGTCATCTGAGTCAAGGTATACCTTAAACAGTTCTCAGGACTTTTGAAATGCCCCTCGTATGTTTACTTTTGTTTCAAATGGTATTTATACCAATTTTGCCGGGTATGTACATGATGTGTAAAACAAACGAGAAACAAGAAACGAGAAACAGTGCAGTGGAATGTAAGATTCGTCATAAAATACCCGATGACCTTTAAATGTCAACAAACGGGAACAGTTTTGATTTTTGTTTTGTTTAATAACAGATGCAGCCCGCACAACTCTTTGGCACATTTAACTAATACGTACAATGCTATTTTTTGAAAAAAAGCTAACTATATAACATTATTTATTATATAGAATAAATATACTTTATACACAATATATACATAAAATTATGAAGCAAATATCCATGCATAATAAGGATAGTTATATTTAGAAAAAAAAACACAGACATTTATTCTGACCTATTTACAGAAATTGATGTTAATGAACTCTTGAAAAATGCATATGTTAGTTTTAGATAATAAAAAAAAAACTAACAATTCAGAGATGACAACATTACAACATAATACGCTATATGACTCAAGAGCAACTCTCTGAGATGGAATGAAACCCAACATGGTAGTCATCAAACTATTTCAGAACTCGTTCTGATACGATCATCTAATGCCATAAACATAAACCAGGTAAGAAGATCTTTCTGTGTGGTACGGTTACCATGTCAAATCATGTCAAAATATGCTTAATTAGTAATAAAATGAAAATGAATAACAGCGTACATTGTACAACAAAAGAAAAAAAAATCTAAATATGGGATAATGCTCATCGCATACATATTTAACAAGAGAAATCTACATTGAGAATATACGCAATTCAGGTATAATTGACTGTTTGTCCCTTGGTTAATAAAGTTTTATGTACAAAAAATAATAAATCTATTTCAAAATACGATATAATTAGTATAGCTCTGAAAGATGCGTTTTTAATTGTCTCTTGAAAATTAAGTGGACTTTCTCTCCAACAAACACATATGTATTCTACTTGTATCGATTTTGTGTTTGTTATTACCAAGAAAATGTTTTGGACAAGATATTTCCTTCGAATGTTCAATTCCACCTTTAATATCTGTCTCTTTAAAAAAGAATTCTTCATCTTCATCTGTAATTTTTATGTCGCTACATGAAAAACCCACATCATAGATAATTCCCCTGTGAAAAGTTTCTGTTATTTCCTTTATAAAGGCTTCCACTGTTTGTCTGATTTTCTTGACGCATTTTTCATCAAGTTTCACGGTTTCATCACGTGTAAAAACCTGCAACTGGATGGATGTTTTGCTGACGGCGATAGCAAAATAATGGCCGGCATCTTCTGCCTTGTAAAGTGCAACATTTTTAAAAAAGGAATTTTTATCACAAACTTTCCATTTTTTTAAACACTTTACAACCAATCGAAAGAAGAAAAAATGGGGTAAAGAAGACTTGAAAAAGTACAGCATCATTGCTGACTTTTGTTTTCCTTTGATTTCATTTTTACTGTCATCAGAAAGGTCGGTTCGGTTCATGCTCGGAATATAATACATTTCCTCCTTATTGTAAGTGCTTACATGTCTTCCAATTCTCGTAATTAGGCCAAGTTTGTCCATGTATTGTAAAATTTCATTTTTGTGATTTAAGTAAGATTGCCACAAGGAATCATGACCTTTATCAGTCTCGACACTAACTTTTGTATCAGCACAAGGTACACCACGACTGCCTTGTATATTTTTCCATATCTCTTCAATGTACTGTCCAGTAATTTTCCCGGTATTAACTAGTGGGTTTATGTTGTCTTTCCGAGCAAAATGCTTTTCGTCAGTTATGATGTACTTGAATGCATCAACAAACCACTGAACACCTATGATAATTGTGTCCTTGAGTTTATTTACAGAAAAGTATAAGATTTTTCCTATTTCATTTAAGAAACGAAGAACATCATTGAGGTCATCTTCATCTATTGAAAGGTATTTTGCTGTTTCTCTGAATTGTGGCCTCCATATGACTTTTTTCCCATTTGCTTTTTCATTATTCAGAATTTTTTCAAGTTCAAACCATTTCAAAGGAACTTCTTCCCCCCAATGTTGTAGATTTTTTACAGTTTCTACAATACATTTCTTAACACAGTCAATTGTCATTTGTTGTTTTTGAGTCAATGCTCCAGGTGGACATTCTACTTCAAAATATCGGTATGGTGATATAAGCCGTTTTAAGGTTTGTTCTTTAGATAAACACGCTTCCAATTGGCTGTAAAATGTTTCTGATGGGTTACAAGTTCTGACCTGCTTAATAATAAGGAAATTAATAAATGTATTAAAAAACCAACGAAGGTAATTTAATAATGTTAACTTTCGAGATTATATTTTAATATAATTAAACATGAATTACGTAGCTTCTATAATTATCGGATATTAAAAATTAGTTTTCCCTATTATTTCCCTTTGTTCATTTTTAAACGTTGATCACCTATTATGACACTCTATCGCCGGGAATACACTCTGTACAAGTAATAACAAATTATACACTTTTTAGTAGGAATACTCAAATAATTGAATGAATACAAGTTGAAGTTTTATTCAGGCTTACAAAGACAATAAAATCAGTATATTATTTGATTCAATTATGAATACACAACATAAAGTTAAAGAGACAGTGAAGAAATGCCTGCATGCTGTATTTGTATAACTGTTCGTTCTCTCCATATCCTTCTTCATAAGTAAACACTGCAAATGAGTAATTTGCTTAGAGTACTTTAATAGCAAGTGCCAGATACACTTAATCCCTTCCAATTGGCAAAGATTTTAAGTATTTCTAAACAAATTGTATTCAAATTTCAAAGCATTTTTTCGAGTATTTCTTTAATTTTTTGTGTATACCAATGTATACATATATATTCTGAAAGCAGGCATGGTGTAGTGTCTGAAAATGATTATAAAATATCAATGTAGTTACCATAGCAACGAAATACGCCATCATCCTGCTGGAATTTCATTTATTGAAGAATGAGTGCCATTTTAGTTTTTTTCATTTTAAGTTAAAAATATTTTTAAAATATTTGATCATTTTATTGTTCTGTTGTAAATTATGCGCATGTCGTACATTTAAAAAAAACAAAAAAATTTTTTTAATATTTTGGCAGGACGGGTTGGGGTTGGAAGGAGATCACCTAAGTTAAGTTTTTTTTTACATATAACGTTTTACCACCGCATTGACTATGGCAGAATTGCTCAAATAGTGCGCGGCAAAGTTTAACTCAAGCTAGCAAGAAACTTTCTATTGTTATTGTATTCTCTTTCCAGCAGTGCAAAAAGTATTCTGATATTTGCAGTATTCAAGAAGTTATGAATGTTTTTTTCACACTATACCCATTTTTCACGTCAGATGCGTAGAAATGCGTATATACCATGAAAAGCTAGGGGTTAAAGGGTCGATAAATTATAAAAATAGCTACTTTCGGGTCAGAGTGAAAGATAATTTTCAATTTTGGTGTATTATGTTTGTTTCCATTCTATTTTTTAGAAAATAAGTGGTTTAAAATTAAGCAACCTGTATGTAAATTCAGATAGGTGTGGTCTTCAACTCGATATTTAGGTGTAGCATAGTACTATAAATTAATTATATAGAAAATTCCGTTCATACATGTACGTCGATTTAATATAAGCTAGAGAAATTGGTATAAATGTTAACATATACTTTAGAGTTTTTATTTTATTTTTATTTTTTAGACATGTAACTAGTACAGTAAAAAGACGGAAATGGTAACCTAAAACAATCCTTTATAAAACAAGAGGCCCACGGGCCTTATAGGTCACCTGAGTATCATGTAACAACTTTCCAGCGATTGTATTTGGTTCGTGTTTTAATCCAAAGCCATGAAATTCACAAATTTTGAAGAAGGCACCATTGCTTATCAAAGGGCAGATTTCAAAGCATTAATGTATTTTAGTCAAAGTACCCCCCGGGTACCCCTGACCCAGCGGCCCTGAAATTATCTATTTTGAAAGAGGCCCCTTTCTTCATTATAAGGCCAGCATTTTTTAATGTTTAAGTTTAGTTATGAAATGAGAATAAAAAAAGTTCCGAAGGAGAAGGAAATAAAATTTTTTTGATAAATCAATTATTACCATTTGTACATTCTTTTTTATGCTATTCAAATAGGCTCCTTACCACTGGACACATAATGCTTACAAATAGAAAAGTAGAACATTTAATTGCTTATTTCATCATATGCCAGTTTGGGTCAGTTATATAAATTTTGTGATGTTGGTCAAAATATATTTTAAAAAATCAATTCTTTAAAAGCCTTTCAATATATCTTCATTTTTTAAATATGTGTTAGGTAAATGTATACTGACATTGTTCTAAAATTAACATGTTGCCTAAAATCATAATTTCTATCATAAAACAGATAGGGAGTATTGGGGAGTAGGGTGAACATTTTTTCAATTAAGTTAAGTGTAAAATAATTTTCTGGCTTATACAAATGATACTACATGCCTGTATATATTTGTATATCCTTGCCTTTTAATAGTTGAATTTGTTTTTTATTTCTTCAGGTTATTGTTTATTTCTTCCTCAAATGGACTAAACTTCTCCCATAGTTTTATTCATTACATCTGATACATAATAGTGGAGTGACAATCCTAGAAAAAGATGCTTAGTTTTCGAGTTTAATGGACCGGCATACCCTACAGCTGAAAGTTATATTTTATAAAAGAGACATTCATCCTCATACATTTTCGCCCGGTCGTAGAGTTTTCCCAAGTCAAAACTTTTTTTAAACTTGCGATTAAAGTGAAAAGAGGGGGGGGGGTATATAAGTCGTTTATTTTACTCGCTGATAATGTTCTTTTTCAAAGATTAATCATTGATATTTAAAGAAATACTAATTTGTGTGTGAAAGGAAAGCTACAGGTATCTAAATTGACAATGCAAAATTAATCAGGAATATTATCCCCCCCCCCTTCTTTTAAAAAAAAAATCTTATGTTTTGTTATAGAAACTGCATTAATTTCAGTAGAATTATTTCATGCAATATTAATAACGAATGTTTACTTTAGCGTTAGAAAGATACATAAGACAATGATTTCTGATCAAATAAACCGCAATTTTTAAAGACAACGTCGCACTAAGTCTGGTATTCTACTTGATCGAAACGGATTATAGAATCCCATCATGTCTATGACAAGGACTTAATCGATCAAAATATTGTTAAATATGTTAAATTGGCTTCTATTAATTAATAATATAACGCTAATATTCAGTTTGAATGTAAATCAATTAGCATTTGAAAGTCATTTCCTTTTTTTCAATTAAAAAAATACGTAAAGGACAAAGATATCACTTTTCCTTCACATTCTTGTTTGAACGAGGTATCTTGCATGATTGGATATTGCCTTTCTGCTCTATAAGCAATACAGATTAACGCAAGTATGAAACAGAAAGAGAAAACTGATTAAAGTATTTCATCTTAAAGACTGTCCATCACTTTACAGAAACTTTTTCATGTTTCCTTCGGAAATATATATAGTGTTTTCTACAGCAAAAACATGGACTTTTGTCATTATTCAAACTAAGGGATACATATTTTGTTTACGCATTTCCTCATTTACATGTACATATATACTGCCAAAAATTGAACTCTTTTACTATATGATCCTTTAAGAGCGGGGGTATCATATTTTGTCAGCTCACTGCTTACAGTACTTAAAAGTTTTCTTTTGAAACGACGTACCAGTAAGGAAGATATGAATCAAACGGAACCTTAAAAGCAATCCACTAAAGATATTGCTGGACAACTCATGGTTTATTCTGTCATAAGAAAGCTTTTTTGATATTTTTTTTCTTTTGAGAAAGAGTTGTCAGTTTTGCTTCAAGAATTAATTGTCTAATATTAATTTTAAAAATTGCAATAGAGACAGAAGAAACAGTACTATATACGCTATCTTTAACCAACCACAGAAACAACGAGGGATTTCTAACATTTTTTTTAGGATTTCTGATGAAATCAAAAAGATTACTGAGTATTTAGGCAATCAGCCCTTTTCAAAATTCAAAAATATAAAGTTTTCTGTCAGCAGATGAAAAAAGCCACGCATGACATGCATTTAATGTGAATATTGCCATTTTGCACTGCTCTAATTATTATCTACCCACCTGAAGTATCTTTTTAAAGATCGGCTATCTTTACTTTTACAGTGTAGCTCTTTTACAAAATTTCTACTTTTTTAGTTTTCAAATAAAATATATTCTTGAAAAAATAACGATAAAGATATACATGTACGTGTACATGAAAACCAATGAATAGAAATTACAGTATTACGTCATTATTTAAACTCTTCACCCCTTTTCCAAGAATTGCAATTTTAACACCAATACGTGTTTAAAATCTTTCAAAACCCCAAAATCTCTACAATGTAACCTGCTTAATTTATGAGTAAACGCTTATTCAAAAGTTCGCCAAATTAAACGTAAATTTTCAAATCATAGATAACATTCATTGAAAAAAAAATTTTTTGGCCTATTTAGACAGAGAAATGAATAATAATAAGACTTTAAATAATATGTTGTCCGTCCTTTGGATGAGACCGGAATACTGTACTTCAGTGTGAGAGCAAGGATGACCTCAAGAAGATTGTTTTACTAAAAAGCTTTTAAAACAGGGTCGAACAATTTCTTTATAATAAAATAATGAATCAGATGTAAAAGGCGTAATAAAAACATAACATTTTTTTTTAAAAAATGCGAAATGGTCATATTCCGTTTTCTTAGGTGGGTGGGGGGGGGGGGTAGGGGTGATGGGAGTTGTTGTTCTTCTTTTTATTTTTCTTTGCTTTGTGTACTAAAAATTAAGTTATTGTACGTAAAAAATAACGTACATTAGCATTAAATCTTTTAAGTTTAAATAAAATACTCTAAGACAAACCATTCATTTTACAGACAGACAAACGGGCATTCTTATGCAATTTTTTGGTCCATTTCCATGAAATCAATATATTCACCGAATAAATAAAAATTCCTATACAAATATACATTATTTTCACGAAGTCCTTCATCTTTTCTTCATATGTACAATATTATGGTCACATTTCATTCATTGATCTTTGATCTCCATTTATTTTAAATTTTGACCATAGAATTTTCTACGACCGGGCAAAAATTATTGCTTGATAATATATCTGACCAAAAAAGTACAAATCAGCCGTAGGGTAGGGTGGTACATTAAAGTCAAATTTTTGATGGTCTTGTCACTCCACTATAAGCAACCCTTTTCTGAAGAATGATGCTTAGACTGTGAGCTATAACAGAGACCTAAACAATGTCGCTGGCAATATGCAATAGCTACCACAGGCAGTTGAAAACCTGGGGGACGAAAATAATTAACAGACAGATACTTTTGAAACGAATCTATAATTATCTCACCAGCATGTCATTGTGCAACAAAGTCATCAGCATTTTATTTGTCCTTTGAACGGGTGAAACGTTTTGAATGGCACTCATATAGATGATTTTTACACTAACCCAAACTATCTTCTTAGATCTAGCTTTATTTACCCGCCGTTTTATCTTAAAACCGGAAGTGCGAGTTCGTAAATTTGAAATCTCGATCCCGACTCAAATTTGACATCGGAGAGAAATTTTTTTAATTTTTTTTATTCTGAAAATTCAAAACCTTGAGCGGAGGATTTGTAAAACTGAAAATCAAATAAATCCTGGCTTTAAATATGTAATTAGATCATTAGTTTATTAACCAGGAGCAAAGGATAAGATGTTCAAAGAATACATGCATTTCATTATATATTAGAGCCCCACCCTAAAACAAGAACCCCTGACCCTGGGGCCATAAAATTCACAATTTTGGTAGAGGCACTCTTGCCCATCATAACTATGTACTTAGTTAGTTTATTTATGACCCAGGAGCAGAGAAGATTTTCAAAGAAGTCATGTATTTTCACTATATAATCAATAGAGCCCCGCCCTAACATCAGAACCCCTGACCCTAGGGCCATGAATTTCACAATTTTGGTAGAGGCACTCTTGCTCATCATAACTATGTATTTAGTTGGTTTATTTAATACCTAGCAACAGAGAAGAAGATTTTCAAAGAAATATTGCATTTTCACTACCTACTTATTCAGCCCCGCCCTAGCACTAGAACCCATGACCCTGGGGCCATGAATTTCACAATTTTGGTAGAGAACTCATTGCTGATTACAATCATGCAAACAGTTTGACTGCTTGATGTACAGGAGTAAAGAAGAAGATTTTTAAAGATTGCATTAATTTTAGTAGTTTTGGCCCCATCCCTCAGGCCCCAGGGTGGCAAGGATCAAGAAATTCACAATTTTTTGTTCCCCTTTACCCAGAGATGCTTTGTGCCAAATTTGGTTGAAATTGGTTCAGTGGTTGCAGAGAAGAAGCTGAAAATGTTCAAATGTTAACGCACGACGGACGACGGACAATGCACGACGACGGACGAAAACAGATAGCAATAGGTCACCTGAGTTTACTCAGGTGACCTAAAAAAAGGTAACAAACTTTCTATCATCAGGTTTGAATTTCTTATTTTTGTTGTAATATACATTTATCAGCTGCAAATGAGGTTTCCAACATCAAGTTGGTTCAAAGCAAATAAATCTGCATACTTGAACAGTTTGAAAACGAACACAGGGTGGAATTTGTTCTTACCATCTGATCTTTATGGGAGGCAATAAGAATTATCGGGGGAATATTGAAATTCGTCGTGGAGTTTTTGATTGCTGTTGTGTCTTTAGGATTCTCCTGTGTTGTTCCATCATTGCAATATGTATTTACAGTTTGCAGCCAAAAATGGAAGTATTCTACAGATAATATACATGGCAATATTTATATCAACTCGAAATGAATTTAATATGAATATTTTTATTTTTTAAAAAAATATTTATAAAGTTATTTTCCCTTAGTAGGTTGATATGAAAAAATCACCAGGGACTGTGATTAATCATAATAATAATAATAATTTGCTTGTTACCATTTACTTGAACACAAATACAGCATAATCACAAGAATATGTTATTTTGTAATGGACAAGAATAAAATTTAATGTTAGAAATAAATCATACAGTGATAATAATATATTTCCATTTTAATTTTATTCTCTGTGATAACTCTTTGAAAGTTAGCGGAGTTGATATCTTGATAATTCTACCGGGATGTAAATTAGGCAGGTCGATAGGTCAGGAGCTAAAGAGGCCTGATATGCATTCAAATTTTGTGCGCATCTGTGTTCAACGCTAAGGAGGCCTGATATGCATGTGAATCTCGTACGGCTGCCTTTGTTTTTGACGTCAGTTGTCGAGGACTGTTAAAATTGGCATGGGAGTTCTTGTGTAATTTAAATATATATGTCTACATTTTTAAAATCTAAATCTACAATTTTATTTTACAATGAAATGGAAATATAAGGAATCACTGTCTAGTTAGTAAAGTATGCCAGGGACATCAACGATAATGGGAAACATTAGATAATTTATGTAAAACGGGCTTCGCAGGTTATGCAAATTATCCCATGTTTCTCACTATTGCTGATGCCCTGGCATACTATACTAACTAGACAGTGATTCCTATACTACATTACTGAAAAAATTCTCGTTTGAATATAATCATCCTTCTTTATCCTTTTGACTTGATGCTCAATCCAAAAATGTGGTCAGTTGGGAAAAAGGTATAGATATTTTGCAATATATTAAATATTTTCTTTTCTGTACTTATCAAGATATTTTGATGTTTCTTTTTATAGATTACTATGTACACAGGAAAAATGTCCACATGTGTTAAACATATGTTTGGTTTCACATGTGTTCAACACATGTTTTATACATGTAATACATGTGTGTAAATAAACACATGTAAAATATGTGTTTCATTTATATGTAAAACACATATAATATACACATGTTATACACCTGTAAGATAATATATATGTTAAACATATGTTTTTCACCACACATGTAAAACACGTATTATATATATGTAATATATGTGTGCGAAAATACAGATGAATTATACATGTTTAATTTATATAAAATATATGTGTATTCATATACACATGTTATACACATGATAAGCTTTATCTCATATGTGTGTGTACATTAATTCAAAAGAATTTGTAAATGTTAGTAAAATTTTACTCATGTAAAGTTTAACTTTGTTTACCCCCCCCCCCCCCTTTCCCTTCTAAAAAAAACTTTCACATTTTTTTTCTCTAATAATGCATTTATCAGACAAAATTGATAAGGAATGAATTCATTTTCTTTTCATTTTAAATCTTTTGGGCTTGGCTTACTTCTTGAGTAAAATTCTATTAATTCCGTATTTGTCTCAGGGCCGGTTTTGTCTTTTATCGGATGAAAATGTACGTCATTTTTGACGTCACTGCTGCAACAGACGTGCTGGGTGTATTGGAAAGGTAAGTGATCTCCAAACAATTTTTAAAAGACTTTTAATTCATATTGTTTAAATATCATTTCATATAGTTACAGGTGCGTATGAACTTTCTGTAATACTCTTAATTATCATTGTGACTTGTCATGCATTTCGTAAACCTAACGATAGTGATCTGTAAGTAATTTTGGTGAAAAATGTTTCTGACTGAATGTAAGCATGGGCACTGGAAGTTAATGTAAACATATAGTATGTGTATGTTTAAAAAAGACCCTTCTTTTTTATACATACACATACTATAGATTAGTTAGAATAATCTAACTGTGTCTCGGTACAAGCCCTCACGTTAAACCGGGTCCGTAGGACAATATCATTTTAACGATAGAACATTCTATCTAACTATAGATCTATACATGATATATTAACTTCCAGTGCCCGTGAATGTAAGCGGTTACATGTTAGGCTAAACATGCTAAAGGCATGACTATTTTTTATAATTTGTATACAGGTAAGTAATTTTGGATAAATTTGTTTCTGAATGAATTCAACTCAATACTACAATAATTTTATTCTGTATTATAAAACAGTTTTAATCCAGTGCACTTTTAAAATATGGAAAGTATGAATAGAATTTGCTGGCTTTAAAAGCTATGAAATTGGTACATGTACTGTAAATGACTTCAGGGGGGGGGTTATTGAATTTTTTAATTTCAGTTAAAAATTAATAAGAACAGTAAAATATCCGCTTCTGTACTGTAATGAAACTGATTATTTTGTAAATATACTGATAAGCTGTAAGGCTTAAAGTGATAATAAAGAAAGAAGAAAGACATCCAACTTTCAAGGTACAAGGTACAAGTACATGTGCATATGTGTTGATTGTTGAAAGTACATCAGCTAGCTAATCCATGGGATATTTACAACTATTATGTACCGGTATTCATTACCTGACATTTATTATTTTTTTCCAACACTAGAGAACATAGTTTCTGGTAAGATGTAAGATATTAATTAAGACTATTAAGAACCTACAAACAAGTACTCTCTCTTTTTTGTAGTTGTAGTTTAATTAAGTTTAGTTATGCTTAGAAGATATCTACTGCGTGAATATTTGTTTCACAGGTTCAATATACAGTCAGCGTCTCATAAGAATAAATCCCAAGATCCAAGACTTGCTTAAAAGCTTAATTAAGGTAACTACACACTGTTAGATAAACTTTGTTATATTCTTCCCAACAACATTTGGGATATCCTGGAATCATACTGTCTGTTTTTCTGCCTGTCTACTTCTCTGTAGTATTTTTTGTCCAAAAATAAAATATTTGTGTCAGAATCTTATTACTTTTTTGCAATATGAATTAGTAATACTGTTTGTACATTCCAAATTTAATTGTAAAAATAAAAAAAAATGCTTTTTATGACTTTATTATGAAGCATATCTTCCAACAGTGTAATTGTCTTGCTAATTACATCATAGGATTCCACAAAACACCTAGCATAGCATATATAACATTAGTTTTATCTCTTATCATATCTCTGTTGGTGAACTGGTCATACATTTGTTTGCTGAACTTTAATATTACTTGTAGAATTGATTTTGTAATTTAAGAATTGTTTTATTTTTACTTTTGAAATTTTTGTAGAGACCATTCTGTGCCACAAAGAAATTGCTTAGGAAAGGGAGAAATGGTGGATTTGCATTTTGGGTACAGTTCAAAGAGAGTTCAAAATGGTCAAGCTCATGGAAGATCAGAGGGAGGACAACTGAAGAAAACTGAAAGATACAGAAGGAAAAAGAACAAGAAAATATATGAAATAATTATGAAATTGGGAGGATGTACAGAATCTTGTCTGCATTTGACCTGTAAAGATTTAATTCCCATTCTTATTTGTAAGCTGAAATATCAAATAACTAGATTTTACAAAAATATACAATAGAGAATACAAGACAAATGTTATATGTGATATTTTAATTTTGCTTTGGACAGTTTCATGTCAAATCATATAAATTATAAAAAAGGACATGGACTAATTATGTTAAAAAAGTTGTGTAAGCATTTTAAGATATTAATTTTCAAATATTTAACCCATGAAGATAGATCATTGGAATGTAATGGATTTTCATCTAAAGCAGAAATATCTGATTTTTAAATGTGTACAAGAATCTGTTTTTCCTTTTGATAAATATTGAAAGAGAACACATGTAACTATTTCATATGATTTACATATGCTGCCCTTTTCATGTGATTCACATATGTGGACAGACATGAAAAAAGTATAAAAATGATAATAAGTACAACAGTAATATTATACACGTATAATTCACATATAAAGTATAACATATATAAAACACATGTTTAACACATGATTCATATGTATAAATATATAATTTGTTTATTTTTACACATGTTAAACACATGTGAAACATATGTTTAACATGTGTAAAAATAAACACCCTATACATATGTGCTCCTTTTTATGTGTTTTACATGTGTAAAAAATATATGATAAACACATGTTTAACATATATTCAACACATGTATACATTTTTCCTGTGTACATTGTTTATATTTTTACTTCGGTGTTTAACTTTGGTTGGTAAATTCATCACCCTTTACATTAAATTACTGCTATGTATATACATGTATAGGTAAAATATACATGTTGTATGTCATTTACAATGTTATTGGTTCATGCCCCATTATTCATTGGCATTGCTTGGGAGTGTGTGGATGTTTGTTTTTTCTCAATATTTAAAACAAACCTCATTAGCAAAGCTTTTTCATAGTCCCTCTGCAAAATACTTAATATATCATAAATACAAAATACAGACACATAAACAGATTACTTAGGAGAAGAAACTCATGATTTCACAAATTTAAAGAAAAGTTGTCTTAGAAAATCTGATTAAATTTAATAAAATTCATAATTGATCTTACTCAGACTGGGGGCAGATAATTTTAGCATCAATATGTAAATCACCTCCGTAAGTCCATGAATGAAATAAGGATCCTGTTGGGTTGTGACGATCTGTGTCATACAATCGACTTTCTTCATCAAGCTTTTTGGACATGTCAATGACCACGATATAAAACGCTCTTTTTGACAGGTAAACCTGGTGACAAGCGTAGTACGCCACTTGTCCTGCAAAGTCTGTCATGCTTATTACGTTGTTGTCAAGGTATGGATTTCTACTGTTGTCAGCATTCGCAAAATCTGTTCGAGTACAAAGATAAACTTATTAATTACCGGGTAATATAAAACTAAAAGAGAATTCCTGACAAAAATCTTTGCTAAATATTTCATAAAACTTAAAGATATGTATGCCGTGTTAAACGGTATTTTTGCACAGCTGAAACCAAACAAAAATTTCTGAAGTATGATAAGCTATCAAAAATGAAGCATTGTCGCAAATTCGACGAAATATTATTCGGTATTAACAAAGTACTGGTCGGGAAAAGAACACGATATTCTCATGCATATTTATAAAGGACTGACGTTTATGTTGGATCTGCGCATGTGCGCGGGAAAAGTATCACGAGAATCATCAGGTCGAGGAAACTATTTTTTGTGGTTCTCTGTTCAGCGAGGAACCAACAAGACTGATAAATCGACCAATCAGCTCAATGAGTTGTATTTAATGCATTTATGGGTTACTACTCGGTACATAAATACTACATGTGTTTTTCGAACAGGCTAGTTTTTTAAATCGCTCTCGAAAGACGTGGAGCATTTCCCAAGTATTTACACGCTTAATGCATTATGTACATTATCATCTACAAATCCCATGCTAACATTTGTATACAAACGAACAATGATAAAAATAAGAGTTTTCCCCACTCTATTGTACAGGTCCGTTTGCAAATTCCCCGAGCTCTACTGACAGTGAAAAGACAATTTCACGTGACTATATATTCCTCGGTACAAAAAGCAACTAACTCTGAGGTGTACTCACGTATTGACAATGTTTACAATGTGTACAACTTCGAAACATACAGTATGCTTACAAGAAAAACTGCATTTGTTTGTTAATGTGAGCATGGGAATTCTCAATTAGTAAATATTCTTCCTATTTCTCTTAAAAAATGTAAATTGGCTTTCCAGCCGTTATTTGAAATCGCATCGTACAATTCCCTAACCCACGTGTTTGTAGTGAAAACGTAGTAGACCATCATGCTTTTCGGCTCATTCACAAGATTGGACCTCAGATTGTTTGCTGTGAGCATGCGAGACCACGTGTTCATGAATATTTCAATAAGAGGCGGTTTAATATCCGATTCGGAGAGAAAATAATTTTTACAAAATAATATTTCATAACTTTTAAAAGTGATGGAGTGGAATTGTCTTAATTGCAGAAATTACATAACTTATGTAACTTGATGAGACACCACATATATTTATTTCTTTAGCAATAAAACACTAATACGGCATATATATCTTTAACAGTATAATTACATGTACATTAGCAATCCAATACCTTGATAACCTTCATGGTGTTTAAATGCAATGCTTTTGCTATATTTAATGTAGTCATCTTTTTACTGTGTATACATTAGTTTTAAACATGCTGAACAATTTTCTAAGAAATTCACCATACCTATCCTGATATTGGAACTTTTCAACAAATGAGAAACATAAGCGGAATTAATCAAAAGGATTAGAAACTCGAACTTCAGTTTGATTAAATAAGTATATACTCTAAAACATAGCATATACACTGTTTGAAAATAAGAATATTACATACTTAAATCCATATCATATGTCATATCAGCCCGAGTGGCCCCATATCAGCCCGAGGGCCGAAGGCCAGAGGGTTGATAAGGGGCCCGAGGGCTGATGTGACATATGATATGGATTTTAGTATGTAGTATTCTATCTATCATACATTTAAAATACTTAATATGCGAGGTTTCATGCTTGTTTATGGCATTTTTATTTAAAATGTAATAGAACCAATTTTAGGTAAATGACAAAAAAATTAAGACTACAAAAGTCATTGAAGAATTATTTTATATGAATATTTAAATAAAATCAAGTAAATTAACTTTTAAAATTGATACAAACGTGACTTTCGGTTTAATAATGATTTTGGCCCGCCGGTCTGATACGTGATATGGATTTTCGGACTGGTCCGTGATATGGGGTATTGTGACGTCACCCATATCACACCGTGCAGAATTGGTGTATTTATCACTAAGTATATGATAAAGGAAAATATCACCTGTTAACTTGTTTTCCTTAATAGCAAACAAATCTTCATGAACCTCAAGGCCGATAGTTGTCTCAGTTGGTTCATCTTCATCTGTTATACCTCTTCCGTGAAGTTTTCTGTAAAAGAGTTGTTTTTCCGGCACCTGCACATCCAACTATCATGCCTCTGGCGCGAAACATTTGTACGCTTCCTAGCTTGGAGTTCTTCACAAACCTTTCTCTAGCATGGATATCCCAACTTAATACTTCTTTGGGTATATTTACTAAATGATGCAAATAATGAACACAATTAATTTACTCATCAATGATGAAAAATAACTCTTATTAACGAAATATAAAGTACTATCTTAATAAAACTTCAAATATTCAACTTTAATTTATAACGTTTCAAATGAATTTTGGGTTTAAGGCGAGTCATATGCCTAGGCAAGGGCAGAAAAAATATTAATTTAGAAATTCTGATAAATTTCGCTTTTGTTAAATTTGGGATTTATTTATAACCATATTCGACTGTATATACAGTTATGATAAAACCTGAATCAAATGACTTAGAAATTGATTTTAATTAACCCACCAAAATGGTAACACGCTTTAGTAACCGTAAAAATATTAGAAATTGAATGTTAAATTTGTATTTTCATATAGAGTGGGTCTTTGTACCAATTTTTGTATACAAATATTGAAAGGGTATGGGAGGATGTATCTCTCTTCATTTAAAAAAAGGTAAGAAGACCCACTCTATATGAAAAAGTTAGTTTACCTATTTAAATTTCGGAACATATTCTCAAAAACTCCAAGTATAATTAGGGGGTTGCTATACATATAGAACTGTTTGTAATTTAAAGAGCAACGTATCTGAGACTTCGTAGCTCACTGGTCATAGCGGCGGTGCTGAAGCACGCATCACTTGTCGCGAGTATTCGGACCACAGCTTTTTTAAGTTTAGGTTGAAATTTATAGATACATATATTTTTTTCAATAAAACAAAATGAATAAATAAGATAATGAATTTATATATAGTCCATTAATATATTTCCCATAATAAACAAGTTTTCGAGATACATGTATATAACAATTTGAATGCATTTAGTTCAAGACTACACCGGTATTACACAATTGAAATGAAAACAACCATTGGTATACCGGAACGATATGACTGTACTGTATACAAAAACAGTTAACAAGAAATGTATAATCATCTCCTAACGCCTGAAAACATATTTGATATAACAATTAACACGCAGTATGAAAAGATCACATATGTTAAAATAATGTCACGATAACCTCAAGATTTAAAGAAATATAGATATTGTCATTTGGACATTGCTGTACAAAGTTTAAATGTTAAGGTTAATCGTACGACTATGAAATGTTCGATATGCTTACAAAGCGAGAAAATCCTTGTGGGCATATGACTCGCCTAATCCCCCAGATTCTTTGGAATTTTAAATATTTGTGCATTATATACATGCACTGTCTACGTTCTTGTTTTATATTATCGTATTTGAATACTACACTCTCTACCCTTATTATATGAATGTGTATTTTGAAGTCATAGAAGAACATTTGTTCAAAAACATGCTACAATGTCTGTTTGGTTGACAGGTTGACAAGTCGAACTGTTGACATCAATATTACTGTGAAGTTCGAAGTCATTGAAGTGCATTTGTTGATAAATATATTTGTTTTATATCTGGCTGACAGGTCGACACGTTGACATTATTATTATTGGACATTATTATTATTGCAAAGTTCGAAGTCATAAAAGTATATTTGTTAATGTATTGTTGATAAGTTGACAGGTATTATAAATGTGTATTTCGAAGTCATAGAAGATCTCGTTAATATTTAAGATGTATTCATGGGTTTAATGTAATAATACTAAATTATTATAATAAATGAAAATGTTTGTGAATATTCATTAAAAAGTAATTTGCATTTTATTATTTTGTACATATTTTAAAGGTAATTGACACAGATTTGAAGTTATTGTTTTCTCTATAATATGACGACTTATATATTTTAATAGCATTTCACACAAACATTAATTAAAAATCTTATTTCATATAAAAGATATTAAAATTTCAAATTTTTTGGCGGGTTTGATAAACACATCCTTGCTCTTTCACAAATGAATTCTATTCTTAATCCTTTGGAAAAGTAGCAATTTCATTGTGTAAAAATGAAAAATATGTCATTGAATACTATAATCCAGAAAATCCAGAAGGAGTTTGTTTCTAACTTTTCTATTCTGAATAAAATTATTTTTCTGGATAAAAGTTTTAATATTTCTCATTAATACACAACAAGATTGCAATGTTGCAACCACTATTGAAATGACGACCACTATTGAAACAATTATATAAATAGTGGTTAGGAGTGCATTTCAATAAGAAACATCGTTAGTAACCACTATTGAAATACGACCACGATTGAAATAATTATGTCAATAGTGGTTGAGAGTGCATTTCAATAGCAAACATAGTGAGTAACCACTATTGAAATACGACCACTATTGAAATAATTATATCAATAGTGGTTGAGAGTGCATTTCAATAACAACCATAGGTAATAACCAATATTAATCGTAATACGACCACTATTGAAATAATTATTTCAGTAGTGGTTGAGAGTGCATTTCAATAACAAACGTAGTTAGAAACCACTATTGAAATACGACCACTATTGAAATAATTATTTCAATAGTGGGTGCGAGTGCATTTGAATATAATAACCATAGGTTTCAACCACTGCTGAAATACGGGCACTACTCAAACATAGGTAATAACCACTATTGAAATACGACCACTATTGAAATAATCAATAGTGGTTGAAAGTGCATTTCAATAACAAACATAAATAGTGACCACTATTGAAATAAATAAGTGTTTGTTTTCCCTAGAATTAGCTTTGTGTGAATTAGAATACGATTAAAGGTGTGAAATATGTCGGTGTGTATAGCTAATAAAACAATGGGGGGTGTGCCGTATTTGTTTACCTGACAGGTACCCACAGGTAGAGCTGGCGCTGTCATTCAATGGTCGGTGAACCTAATGGTCATGAGTTAGCTTTACATATCAATAGATTTGAATTTTTTTTAATTAATAAATTATGCTAAGGAACACTTCAAAACTGCGACATTTATAATAATTATAATCATATAGTCTTTATTTGAATATATAAAGCTAAATATGGCGTATCTGAGTTAAAAATTATAAATACTAGATTAAGCGTATATTTACATGAGAGTTGATATTTATATTTAAATTAAAATTTTCACCGATATTGAACTTAAATATCCCCTATTAGTTAAATTCAAGCTAATTGAATTAAAACTGTGTCTGATATTTAAATTCCGAATCGATAAGAATCGGTCATTGTTTTAAATCTCTGATATCTATATATAAAACGCAAATTTTGATTTAAATTTCGGTAATTGAAAATTTTAAAGAATAAAATTATAGACATAAGTTCAAGGCAGTATTTGGCATTTGATTTATCGAACATTAAATGTGAGGAAAAAATTGCATGCTCATTATTTGTAGTCTGTTAAATAGACTTGGTGCTTCATGTACAGATGTATTATACAGATTTTTATATTAATACTGTGGTGTTTAATAATTTTTTTTTCAAAATTCCTTTTCTACGTCCATGTACCCGGTAAACATTACTTTGCCGGAGAGGTACCTATAAAAAATTCCGGAAATAAAAAAAGATAAATCAAATGTCGGGAAAAAGAGTAATTGTCGGAAATAAAACAAGTTTATCTTATAAAAAAGATAAGTGAGCTAGCGCCGCAGCAATTTTTAAACACAGAAAGGAAAGTCCGTGTTCAACTGATTTATTTTGCTGAATGTTTTAATTTTTTCCGAGACTGGAGTGTGATCAAGTTATAATTGTTTTGTGAAGTGTGTTTTATAGACACATATAGGTAAATAAACGAGGGGGGGGGGGGTTGACCTATTGGAGCTTTGGCGCAACGGAACATTAATGACCTTTACTGGAGAGGAAGGATATGGAAATAAAAAACAGTATTCAATCTCAACGTCCATTAAACAAATATACAAAATAAGAGCAGAGCAAACACGGACCTCCGAAACATCAGAGGGGGGAGACTTATATAATATGGCAAAGATGCAGATTGACGCATTGTATGAGCTGGTTTAGAATAGAATTTCGTGGCAATGCAGCATATTATATAAAGAAATCAGAGAGTTCCGAATGTGAAGATGTTAAGAAGCCACGATTGGTGAAGAAGCTTGGTCCTTTGTCAAGAACTGTTAAGTGTTAGTAACTATGAATTATTTTCTATTACTAGTATAACCGAAAATTATGTTATATTATAACCGACTTGAAGGTTTCTGCGAAAAGTTGTTTATAATTATTTATCTCACGCCTGTTTTATAGGGTAATTTCTGGACAGGGTTTATTTTAGCTTATAAACTAGAGAAAGAGACAAGGCGGCGGACCTTAAACGCAGTTATCAGAAAAGGTCCGCCCTCTGTATTTCAGATATATTCATGTCATAAAGAGAAGTTTTGGACAGGGTTTATTTTCGGAGGTTGAAAACTAGAAAAATAGACAGGGCGGACCTTAAAACGCAGTTATCAGAAAAGGCCCGACCTTTGTATTTCAGATACCTTCATGTTTTATGGGGTAATTTCTGGACAGGGATTATTTTCGTATAGCTTAAAAACTAGAGAAAGAGACAGGGCGGACCTTAAAACGCAGTTATCAGAAAAGGTCCGCCCTCTGTATTTCAGATATCTTCATTTTTTTATAGGGTGATTTCTGGACAAGTTCATTTTGTATGGCTTAGAAACTAGAGAAAGAGACAAGGCGGACCTAATGCAGTTATCAGAAAAGGTCCGCCCTTTGTATTTCTGATATCTTCATTTTTTATAGGGAAATTTTTGGACAGGATTTATCTTCGTATAGCTTAGAAATTAAAGAAAGAGACAGGGTGGACCTTAAAACGCAGTTATCAGAAAAGGTCCGCCCTTTGTATTTCAGATATCCTCATGTTATTAAAAAAATAATTTTTGGAGATGGTTTATTTTCGTAGCTTAAAATTTAGAGAAAGGGACAGGGCTGGACCTTAAACGCAGT